TGAAGGTATTCGACACGAGGTCGAGCTTAAACCAGGCTCGAAGTACTGTGTCATGAAGCAGTGGCCACTGCCTCGTGAACAAGTACTTGCGATCGACAAGTTCTTTGCCGATCGTTTAGCTGCGGGCCATGTGAGGGAATCAACTTCCCCACATAGCTCTCCGACCTTCTGTGTGCGAAAAGCAACAGGAGGGTGGCGGATAGTGCATGCATTTAACAAGTTGAATGCTGCAACGGTACCGGCTCAGACGCCGATACCAAATAAGGTTGTAATCATTGATGGTATGTCAAAGAGTACCATCTTTTCGTCCATGGATTTGATGGATGGCTTCTATCAAATCCTTATGCGAGAACGGGATATACCATATACCGCAGTTAGCACGCCTAGCGGCATGCTCTGGGAATGGTTAGTAATGGCACAAGGGCTTAGTAATGCCCCTGCTACGTTCAACAGATGTGTATCACATCTGTTGAGACCAGTACGAGAGTTGGCGCCGAGTTATTTCGATGACGTACTCATCCATAGTCGGGCTATGGATGGAAAGTCGGACGTTGAGGTTCACAGGTACCACGTCCGACAGGTTCTTACAATCATGCGAAAGCATCAATTGTATGCAAACCTCAAGAAGTGTATAATTGCAGCAAGCGAAATACCACTTCTTGGGTGCATCGTTGGTAAGATCGGAGTAAGTCTCGATCCCGAAAAGATCAAAGCGATCACCGACTGGCCTGTGCCAGTTGATGTCAAAGTTCTTCGAAAATTCCTTGGGCTAGCGGCGTATTTGCATAAGTATTCACGCAATTACGCCGAGATGACTGTACATCTCTCTCATTTGTTGAAAAAGAACGAGAGGTGGTTATGGAACGCTGAATGTCAGCGCTCCTTTGATGGTATCAATCAGAGCTTGATACAATTCCCAGTCCTAGCAGTAGCCGATCAGGACAGGCCATTTCATGTGGTCTGTGATGCCAGCTATTTCGCAATCGGCTGTGCATTAATGCAGTACGATCTTGAAGGCGTTGAGCGCGTCGTCTGCTATCAGTCGCGTCAGCTGCAACCAGCTGAGCGGAACTATCCAGTGCATGACAAGGAACTCCTTGCCATGAAGTATGCACTCGCAAAGTTCAGAGTCTATCCATTAGGAGATGGACCCTTCATTGTTTACACTGACCATGCGTCGTTACGCACGGCAGTGAACAGCCCGCACCTTTCACAACGAATGGCGCGGTGGTTGTCATTATTTGCAGAATACAACTTTACGGTCGAGTACAAACCAGGACGACTTAATGTCGTCGCTGATGCACTCTCACGTCGTCCCGACTTTGAACCAGTCGTGAAACCCAACGGTGAGACAGTCACTGCTGCGGTTATGACGTCCTCAGTCCCATCTACAACGTTGTATGATGATGTGAGGCGGGCATACGCCCAAGATGGTGAGATTGTGAAGTTGTTGACACATCTCTCACAACCATCTCGAGAATCGTTGAAACGATTATCGTCTGCGTATCGACCTGCATCAGATCGATACACGACTCGCAACGGGTTACTGTATCATACAGCCGTTTCTGGTGACACACCACGTGTTGTCATTACAGATGATACTGATCTGCGTTCGCGGATCATGTTCGAGTGTCACGATGCTCCTGTAGGAGGACATCGTGGCCGAGAGAAAACATATCTCACGGTGAGTCGAGACTTTTACTGGCCCCGCCAGTATCAGTTTGTGCGAAAGTATGTTCGCGCATGCGAAGTCTGTCAACGAGTGAAGTCCAGTCCTTAACTGCGTGCACCTTTACAGCCTCTACCGGTTCCGGCTGAGTGCTGGGAATCCATCTCAATGGATGTCGTCTTCGGGTTACCCAAAGACGCACGCGGGAATACGGGTATTCTCGTATTTGTTGACAGATTCAGCAAAATGGTAACCTTGTGGCTGTACCAGAGACAATCACGGCACCTGGCGGTGCTTGTGTCTTTATTGAAACCACATTCCGACTTCATGGGTTGCCCCGTGAACTCGTATCAGACAGAGATCCACGATCCACTGCTGATTTCTGGCGTTCCGTGTTCAAATCACTCGGAACGCTTGAAGATGTCTACATCTGATCATCCAGAGTCAGATAGTCAGACGGAACGTGCCAATCGTGTCCTTGAAGAGATACTTCGAGGATACGTACACTCCTTTAAAAGTTGGAGTGAGTTTTTGCCAATGGTAGAGTTTGCCATCTCGGTGCATGCGTCCACGACACATACATCGTTTTACGTGAACGGCTTACGCCATCCGCGTGTGCCCACCTTGCTAGTGTGTAACACTAATTTAAGGTGGGAAGGGGCTCGCGCGAGCAAAAACCGATTTGGTTCACGCTCATCACGCTCTGACGAAGAGGTCATTGCGTTTGATGCCGATATCGATAACATCGATATCGAAGAAGATGATGCCAGTGAGAGTGCGGAAGCCCTCACTGAAGAAAACGTTGATGTTGCTGCAGTTCACTCACAGCGCACTGAAGCTAACGAGTCATCAGATGAGTTCATACTGGCTCGTGAAACGGTAGTTCGTTTTGTGCAAGACTCCATCGCCGAAGCGGTGGATAAGCAAAAGCAAAACGCTGACAAGAATGGAAGGGCAAACACTCTTTTATTTAATAAAGGTGACTTAGTCCTACTGTCTACGGTTAACCTGCCAAAGCATGTAGTGACTAACTTGGGTAGTAGTAAACTTCTACCCAAGTACATCGGGTCATTTCGTGTCTTGCATCGCCCAGGCAATGCATACACGATCGAGTTGCCACGTAAGATGCGAACGCATCCCACGTTTTACGTTGGTCGGCTTAAGCCGTACCATCAGTACGCTGCTTCTTCCGATGAAGAACGCCCTTGCGCTCAAGCACCTCGCAAAGAGCCTTATGCTCCCGATGGTGGACATCGACGAGGGTCGGAAGAGCAGTTATCTCATCCCGAGACCGATCAACAATCCCACGAGCTACCCTTAGCTCGTCACGAAGAGATGTCAGAGCTCTCTCGTTCTCAAGCTGAGCAAAGGCAAACTCAGCTCGATGCTTAGAGACAGCGTCCGCCAGTTGGAGACGATTGTCCCGCTCATGTTCGAGATCGTTGCGTAACCCTTGCGTTACGCGATCAAAGAAGCTCTCGGGAACACACGGATCCCCACGATTGTGTGGAGAGCGTCTTTCCTCCCCCTCCACCTCCATTAGAGGACTCTCGCGGTGGCCAGCGCTATCTAGTTGAGCAGCTGTTGAACCACCGCGACGTGAACGGACGTCGGACGAGTTATCTCGTCCGGTGGCGCGGCTATCCCCCGTCCTGGGATTCTTGGGAGCACCGCTCCCAACTGATGATCGACGTACTGGGTCTGGTTGAGCAGTACGACGCGGCACATCCTGATCCGCAGAAGGACCGCCGGAGAAAGTCTTCCCGGCACAGTCGTAAAGGAATTTCAAGTTGTCAATCCCTTCGTACATCTCAATAGAGATACGTACGCGCCACCACGGGCTGTTAGGGAGGTAAGCCTTCTTAGGTGCATGTGCAGAGTTGTTCACACAACATGGTCACGAGTCTCCCCAAGAGAGGCAGGGTAATCCTTTCTCCCTTGACAGACGATGCAGCTTGTAGCGTGCACCTGTCGGGGTTTGCTTTTCAAACTTATCACGAGCTGTGATAAGTTTGTCGTTCCAAACGTCACGGCCTACATCCTCGAGGTTATGGATGTAGGCGTTCCACGCTTGAAGTAGTGAGGGGCCATCACGCTTGTGATTCCCACTGTACCATCGATGTCTAAAGAAAGCATCGATGAAGAATTCATTTTCAGCGCGATAGTTCTTCGCGCTGGGGTCAAGGTGATGGATCCTTGACGAATCGAACAATCGTGTTCGATTACGATCACTCGTCGTCGCCGACAAGTGATCCATGACGGATTTGGGAGGCATCCATGCCTTCTTCTCAGGAGCTAGACGCAACACATTGCGGTCCCGCTCTTCCTGCGATGTGCCGACAGAAGGACTGGCACCTCGTTGCAAAGTGGTGTCTATAGGAGAACCGACACCACTGTTAGCACCCAAGTCTCGCGACCTCGAGCGCCTTCGCTTCGGCGATGGTTCATTTGATTCAACAGATGAACCAAAGATGCTACGACGCATAGCATCATCCATGCCACGCTTGGCAGGCGGCTTGGATTCGATCGCCGTCGACACAGATCCGTCTTCCGCATCAGTAGAGTATGAGACACCGAGCTCATACTCAGCGGCTCCAAAGCGTTTTAGCCTTATCAAACCAGCACTGAAGCGGAAGCTTTCGGTGCGCCATACGCGAGCAGCGGTTCCCATGCGTGTCAACACCGCGACGGGGTAGAGGACTCCCTCGCGCGTGCATGAGTTACAAACCACACCGGAGCAGAAGCTTTCGGTGTAACGGGGCACCCTGAAGCTTGTACTGGTGACAGTACAAGCTACTTATTCTGATGACAGAATAAGGCGGTGCCTCGAAACTTCACGTACACTCGTACGTGCAGAGGAAGACGGTAAGAAGAAGCGAGTACTTGGTTAAAGTAAAAAGTAGAACTGTATTTATATTAGTTAATGTCTGTTAATAAATCACTATTTATCTTCATCTAACTATGTCTAAATACAAATGTGCATATCAACTATCTGCTCACCACTCATTGCGTGCGTCTGTCGTGGCGCGTCTTCGTTGGTTGATATAATGGCATATATCAACCAATTAGGAACTACTCGTAAGTGCTACAGAATATTTGTCCTTGTGACAACATTCTGAGAATATAACTCTTATAGTTATATTCTATTAACAATTTCTTATAAATTGTTATGTAACGATTCACCCCGTTACATCACCCCCCCCCCTTAACCATCAGTCACTTTAGTGACTAAATGACTAAATGGATACTCGTCCCAAATTATTTGGGACAGGGTTTGCACTTGTTGGTCCGAGTCCACTTTCCAACATTTCATCGCATGGTTAACAAGCCCATGCGATGCGTGAACAAGGCCGCCGAGAGCGCGTCCGCACGTCTCTGTGTGGACGCCGAAGCAGAAACCACAGCAACTGATGCCTCATCGGTTGCTGAAGCGACTCAGCCTGTGTCACTTGGTGATGCAGGCGCTGGTCATGAAGACACTCATGTTTTCGCGCGTGGCGCACCAAAAGCCTCTGCTTAGGTGCGATACTGGTATGATTGTCGCACACAGGAGATGTTGCTCGACCGTTAGACACCGAAGACCACTGTCTCGGCGTAGATTTTTGACTTAGGAACCACTGTTCGACTGAGGAGGAGCATGTCGCGGTGCTGTGTACTGCGAGTGAAGGATCATCGCTCGCTACACGGGTACTAGAGGTCATGAAGCTTGAATCAACGACAGAAACATGCTGCCAGGTGCTCGTGGGATCAGTTAGCACCGTGAGCACAGCTTTGACATCTATATCACAAGGCTTAGCAGTGCGGTAAAGCCAATCGAAGTCCGGACGATGCCAGGCAAGCCACGGCATTTAAAGATGCAGTCAAACAACCTGTTAAAGTCGATGAATTGAAACTCGTCACAGCTTCTAAAGCCGTCGAACTGGTTGGGTACGACAACCGACCGCCGTCGGTGTGTCCTCGGCTTACAACCAGCATACTTGATGATCACCGTTTCTGGAGACTCGCGGACACGCATCCGCGAGGGAAATATCTTCAAACTTTCGGTGGGAACGAAGATATTCGTCGCGCACGAGTCCAGCAGCGTTCGAAGCGGGCGCGTCGCAATGTCGATGTGCTCGCTAAGCACGATCATTCGATTATCGCTGCTGGGCGTGGTGGCGTAATTATGCGCGTGAACCGCGGAGGGAATAGTGGGACGTGTCGCCCCCTGGGGCACGTTCCACCGTCTTCGCCCAGTAGGACGCCACGCGCTTACCGTTTGCTTACGTTTTAGGCTGTGTGGCCGAGCCATCAGGAGTGACAGACTCGGTGACGGCGAGCAAAGGCGCAGGCGCGTGTCATGCTGCCGCGCGGTGACTAGGTTTGCGACATCGGATACAGAGATGCTGACATGTTGCCACGGGTTTTAGAGTCCCATGGTTCACAGCACGTCGCGATCAGGGGACGCGCTCAAGCGCGTCGATTTTCATAGGCTTGGGATCACTAACAGCACGAAAGTGCAACGAATGATCCATGTGCGAGGCCATGACGCTCCAGGTAACGCTTTCGTGGACACTTCATTAAGCGACGACAGAGGCTCCCGCATTAAAAATAAACGCTGATGAATAGCGCTCTTACGCGTGACGAACACGTAGAGTTGAGTCACAGAATCGATAAAATTGGATCAATCCACGAAGATAAGTGTCGAGCACGTTGGATGTAACTCAGCATCGATTGGCGGCCTTTGTTTAAAACGAGAAAAGCCAATCGGTGGTGGTATTCATCCTGCGGAGGCTCAAAGGTGAGGCGCAAATTCCGTCAAGGCCTTGAGATCCGGGATGAACCCCGGATCAGCGACAAGTTTGTTCAACGCCCACTCCTTCACCATCCCGTCAGCTCAAAGTGGAGGAAGTGATTGCGCGAGAACTCAGACGTGAGTTGGCGAGCTTGGATAATAATGTCCACCTTGTAGAGCCAGCGATTGAGGGCGACGAGCTTCGACCCCTCGCCGCTGTAGCTATAGACGTCTAGCTTGACGACATCTGACGTCTTGACGACCGTGAAAGTTAGGGCTCGCTGACGAAAATCAGTGAGCTCACGGTCGACAAAGCCTTGAATCGTGACAAGCTGGAGGTGCTCTGGCGTATCCTTCAGCACGGCAACAACAGCACTGATGCCGGCAAAGACTTCGAAGCTACGCAGTGCTTCCCACTCGAACGTAGTGAGGTGTTGGAAGTCGTCACGATCCAACACCCCACCTGCAGCGCCTTGTATCGGGGCGCTCATCTACGTTGCTAGACGGACTACGAATTGATACCAGGTGCAACGGTACTAGAACCCGTTACGTTGCTGACATTGAGGTCTTACGAGGAAGCGTGAGAGACACACGTGTAAAGGTGTGTCGTGTGGAGATCAATTCTAACTCTGGTTTTTATCTTTATATATTTTAACCTAAATCATCCTCAGTGCGAGTGGTTTCTGAGCCACTAGAGCCACTCAACTAAAAGTCGCATCCTATTGGCTGATAAAGGGTCTGTACCCACTTTCCAGAAGAGCAGGACTACGATAAATGTAGCCACTACACTTAGCTACAGTGTGTACCTACTATTTATGTGTACCTAGAAGAGCATACCTGAATGTATACTAGTTATTAATGAATTCTAACAAGTAGCGTAACGGTAACACCCTGTAACATGTTGTTATGTCTGTTGGTGGTCCCAACCAAAATCGTTGATCGATTGCGCAACTTCTACTACGTCCTTGTGATACTGTTACACTCCAAGTAGATCAAAGTGTTTGGCTCGAATCTTCCTGTAGCCATGTTGGCTTGGCGGAGGATAGTCACCAGCGCAGGGACCGCCTTGGTGACCGTCCGGAGTCGTGGTAGGGGTGACACTGGTCTCCTAAGTAGTCCGAGCAGCTGGATCCCAAGGGTTTTTACGACGGGGTCGCTTGCCATGAGTGTGACAAGCTTGCTTATGTAATCGGTAATAGTTACTGCATCGTCTGCCATACTGGCGGCCCTGCTTGGGCAGGGCTATCGGCTACGCGTGCGCTGGCGTACTCGTCTTTGTGTATTTCGGCTTGGACTTAACGGTCTTGGTTTTTTTTGTGTCGGGGACGACAGCTTGCCGTGTTTCGTCGTCGGCCGATGGTCTGAATCGATCGATGGTCCTGATGTGTCAGGACCCATTGACTTGGTACTCTCTGGTGCTTACATCCTGGCCTTCTTCAGCTTGAACGTGGCTTCTGTAGGGGTTTGCTGTTTCGGGGACCATAGCGTTTTGATTTTTACCGTCGGCTGTTGGTTTAATGGGACGTGATATGAACCAAAGACGTCCTCGACGAGGACGTAAGGAGGGTGTTTAGGTTTCCTCAAAAAATTCAACCTTGACCATGTTTACCGGACCCCTCCCAAGGTCCGGTCAATCCTTTGGTTAATCGTTTCTTTTTCTTGTCTTACTGGCGGTCGGTCTTCCAGTGGTAAATTGGGTTTGCCAAAACTTTTTGACGAGACTTAAACCACTCACTGTGCCGGACTAACAACTGTCGGAGTGGGTACCCCGATGCCGCTTGTGAACTTGACTCACCTTGTGTACCCGTCGGCTCGGAGGGTTTCACTCTTTGTAGGACTTGGTGATGATGAATACGTTGGCCTTGATGGAGGTCGACCTGGGGGGGGAGGGCAAGCGTAAATGCTTTAGTCGGGGTCCAGTTTAGGCGACCACTCGATCGACTAGGTCGAGAGTGGTCTTATAACCAGTTGTTTCAGATGCTGTTAACGCCTGTCCTCTTCTTGTCTCAGGGGTGTTAACCTCCTGGCCTTTACGTTTCTTCTCCTTTACCACCAAGATTAAAACCCGCTATTTATAGCAGGCTTGAGTTGGGGTAAGTACTGCTCTACGAACCCACGCGCCAATATTCTTTCTGGGTTTCTACTTACACTTGTGTTTTACTGACAACTGTCGATTCTATGGGTAGGCCAAACAGATCTCTGGCCCGGAACATTCGGTAGACTTACCAGATTCTTAGCGCACGACACGTCGTGCTACTTAGATCGCAAATTGAGTAGTGTTTGATTTTTTCTATCCTTTAAACTCCTCTACTCTAGTTTTGCATTGCGCCTGGGTTCGATATGATGAGTGGCCAAAAGCTACCAGACATTAAGGGGCCAAGTCTAACTATGGGTGACCAGGTTGGACTACGAGTGACCGAGAGGAGGGGCCAAGTCGACCTATGAGTGATCAGGTCGGACTACGGGACCAAGGCCCACCTTGTGCGACCAGGCCGACCGACGAGTGGTTGAGAATGATCCATATAGGTACCGTTTTACTGGTACCGTCATTCGGTATGACCCTGTTAGCGGTAACCACAACTGCTCGTCACGTTTGGACCCAACGGCCACATTTTTCCTTGTGAACTTTAGGTCTCCGGCCCCTTTCCCGGCCGCGATATCCCACGTCCGTCCGGCTCATCGACCCTTAAGTCCATCATTTTCGAACAATCGCTTCACCAGATCTGCGTAATACACGCTATACTTCTACAAGTAAGTGTGAAGGCCAATCGGATCATTATAAGAAAAATTGTTATAGAACCAGCCGATACAGTATGTCGTTACTCTTGCGATAATCGTATGAAGGTCCTATTGTTCAGTGAAAGGATCCAGGAAAACAATTGTGCTTCCAAGCCGTGTTTCAATACGGTTAGATGCAGCTTATACGCGCGCATACGACTAATCACCGCTCGTAATTTAATTTGTTTTGTCGATTACTGGTTGAATATCGACAAATGTATCATCAAAGTGTGTGTGTGCTGAGACCACATGAGGGTTCAGCGGGTACGTCACAAAATGATTAAAAGTATACGGGGCCGGAGCGCCCTTAAGTTATTCTAGCAATTTTCAGAGCATAAAACTAGATGCAGCTCATAATGTGCTCGGAATTTTAATCACAAGATCACTTGTTAATACCAACTTAAAAGGTTAGTTGCACTCTATATAGTGCCAACTAAATTGTTTTACAGAATGTTCTTCCTAGGAATCGGCGTCTGTGCAGAAAGACTGCATAAAACTTAATGTAAGCATGAACAAGCCGTCTATTTTAAATGAGTTGCTTAACATAGGTATTTAATAAGGATAATTGCTCTTACGCACCATTCTCGCCGCGTGCTTGGCACAAAATATCCAGTCGTATGCATCAAATTGTTTCTAAGGCAACGGCGAAGGTCGCATAACTGAGCTTTTTCTTTTATAAGTCTAGTCGACTTGATGACGTTCAACTATAAAAGAAGGGCGATATCAAGGTCAATTGTGACGCACCACATCCTAAATATTATAAGTGGTAACGGGTACTATAGATCTTGATTACTTTTTGAAATTGTAGTTCAGCTATGGTTCCCTTGTTTCCGCCTTAGTATCTTCAAATTTTAGCTGTCTGATTCATAACGAGTATAAGTTCAGCCGATTTTCAGTTCTATAAGCCTGCATTTTGGTCATGTAAACAGTCCATGAAGCTCGATGAAACTCATTTATCAACATTCCATTGAGTTCTAACATTAAACGATTAATGGGACTGGATGCCGACTTCACTATCACATCGACTACCACTCCATTAAATTTAATTTGGAGCGATTTGCCTAAGCAACCACGTGACAGACTAGACGTCTTATGTCTTGCATAATTCATTTGGCGACGCTACCGTCTCAGAGATCGTGTTATGCTTACTAAAAAGTGAGATAGTGCCATTACCAAATTTAGAAGGTTCGTCAACTTTATTTTGCTCCACATAAGAGCTAATTTCATTTACGGAATTCACTGAGGTGACAACCTAGCGCCTCACCTCAGTATATTCGGCAAATTAAATATAATGGGATCTGCTGTATTTATATACCCTGTCCAAAATTAATGCTTTAACCCTATTTATAGGTTACTCTCGGTATATTACCGTGCCCAGTAGTATACCATAAACGGTTTGGCAAAATTTGGTTTTTTATTGATTATTGACTTCGATTAACGGTTGGCTGAGGTCACTCATAAAAGACCTTTTACATTTTGAACGTTTAAATCACCAGATAGTAAGCTCGATTCGCATTAAAATTCTTCATTCTCTAAAGCACACCATGGCACCTAGGCGAGCTTGCAAGACTAACCTCGAGAAGCGGAAAGTGATCAAGTCAATCAAAAGCCATGGTGGTCGGGTTTCTACGCGCGCTTTGAAGCACTATCAAGCGGATCGAGGTGAAAAGTGTCAGGGGCCCTTATTTGCTACTGTTGCAAGAACGGCGAAACTATTAAGAACTTCGCGGCGCTACAGCTGCGTGTGACAGGTGGCGTAAGATACCTAGCGCTTGGTAAGGTAAAGTATTTTCTGTTTGAATATATCGTCTTTCTGACATCAAAGAAGGAAACGGGTTCGCGTCAGTGGACATAAGCATCTGCACGCGAGCTCGCGGAAGCTGAGCTGGACAACGATGACTGTTGCGCATCGTTAAAGTAGTTCGCTTACCCAATAAATCGCTATGACCTCTCTTACCGACGGACGACCAATTTTACCGAATTGAGTGACGATGAGCTCACTGCGCGTGCCGTGCTATTTCTTACGTAATTCTCATCGATGAGAGGCTTCAACCTCAGCGGCACGCTCCTGATGAATGAGACGGCAGTATTCTTCGAAGACCCGCGGCGCGACACTGTGGACTTTACCGGCGCACGTCGTGTCTATTGCGATTAAAAGGGTACGCTTCGTTAAAAAAATGTTGCACTTACCGTCGAAGCTACGGGGACTAAGCTGCCACCTCTTTTAATCTGGAAAAGCGCAAAAACAATCAGAAAGCGGGGCGGTTTCTTTTCGTATCAAAAGCGTGTCTGGATGAAATTCAAGCTTCTCATTTAGTGAATCGACTTGATGTTTCCAGCGCTTCTGAACTTCTGCGACGGCAAAGGTATCCTGTGGAACTCGGTACGAGTCCATATAGCGAAGGACATCAAGGTCAATTTTTATCAGCAATAAAAAGGATAAAATGGTTATTCCTGGAGGTTATACGCCGTACATGCAGGAAGTGGACATCGGATTATTCAAGTCGTTTAAAGTTTGTCTATCCAATGTAATTAACGACTGGAAGAGATCTGATCGAACGCAGTACACCATGAATAAAAATAACGGCCACCGAACGCGGAGGAGTTGGTGGATTGGGTCATCAGTCCATGGGTAGCTGTCCCCAAAGGTGTTATCCGCAATTCAATTACCGCATCTATATCTGCTGTCGAGTACGGGGACTTGCAAATTGCCAAGAACGACGTGTACAATGGACTATATAAAAGTAAATGGGTTAATAATGATAAAGAAGCCTCCGATGATGCAGATGGTGCTGATACTGCAGATGATTTAACGATACTGTCGTTGTATAAAGGCAAATCAATTTGTGTTTGAAGCACAATAAATCTGAAATTATGAGGACTTAGGTGGTGGTTCCAGACTCCTCCTTTGGGGATTCTCTCTGCGTAATTGCTACTGGGTTTAAAGCTGGGCTACTTGTGTAACTGACCGCCTGTTGCACCACTCCACCCCTGCCGCCGTTTACTTCCGAATTTAATTTCAAACACATGTGAATTATAGGGCACACTGCCTGATACAATTCAATTTTTTGTAAATATGGGTGTCTTGGGGGGGCAAAATACGGTATATTAATTGGCAGAACCCGACATGATAAATTTTTTGTCCCTGAGTGCCTTTGCACTTCACCGTCAATCTGTTTGCCAAAAAATAAATACGGTTGTATCGCAGACATCCTTTATACGTGCCTCTATACCCGCGTCAGAGATGTTACTACCTAGGCTCTGGGCCAGCAATGCATTAAAACTTTATCTTATCACAACTCAGTGCTGGCTTCCTCATTTTTTGCTTTACTTAAATGGTGCAATAGAGAGACAAAATCAGTTTTGGGGGACAATAAATTACATGCTATGTGCTTGCGGACTGCGTCAAAACGTAGCACAGCATCTCAGAGGCCTCATGGCTAAAAAGAAGAAAATCAACACGTCTTTCCAGCCCGCCCAGAAGCTCACGTACGCGGTTGACGTCGTGAGCACGACTAGCGACACAATCATCACCTGCCGCTGCAAGATCTGTGAGCTCCTTGGTCGGGACCCCATTGTGATCGGGTTGTCCAGCAGCCGTAAGCGCAAGTCGCATAGTAGCGTCCAGTAATATACGGTGCCATTCATCGTAACGAAGTACAAGTGCCATTACATGGGCTAGAACCAGGAGACCTGGATCGAGTACCAGGATGTGTCGAAAAGGACAAAAATCTTTTTTCAACTACCACCTCAATGCTAGCGACGTGCTCTATTGCTATACGGACCTGGACAACAACAAGATGACATTGAAGATCCTGGACGGTATCTTTGGTGTGATCATCAAGGAGATGTCCTTTCACGATGACGGAATGATAGACGTTGTTCGATGGCGAAAGCAACGTCGAGATTGCCACGGCCAATGAGGCGGCAAAAATCGCCCAGTAGGAGGATAATACACTAAGCCTGTTTAAGCATAGCGACGACAATTCGATTTAATCATTCTTCAGTATCACGCACGCCATGTGCTTCGAGCTGGCCATGGACTTTAGCGCGGTAGGCTTGTCGTTCCGGAAGGTCGCGAAGGCCATCGAGTACAACAAATGTTACAAATTTTTTGGACGAGTAAAGCCCGTCTTCCCGGCGCAACAACTTCATTGTAAGCTATCACGTCCTCGTCCTGGAAACACCCGCCTGCAGCTCACCACCGACCTGATCCACCACGACTTGATTTAGGCTATTTATCTTACTGGTGACAGCAGCACTCATCGCGGTCAGTCGTCGTCGGAATTTGCGTGAAAATTCGCTTTGAACGCAAGCTGTAGACCTGCATTTGTTCGAACTCCTGAAGCTCGGCAGTTACACGGCCAAGAATATCTTGGATTATTTAAAAAGTTCCTCAACGCATTGTAAGGGCTGTGGCATAATACACTCATTGCCATGTCGCCCGGCGGAGATAACACGATGAAGGGCCGCATTGCGGTCTCGTCACGCGCAGGATAGTGACAGATAAGAGTTTACTTTTTCGGATGTATGCGCACCGCACCAGATAAACCTGGTGGTCAAGTTTACAGCTTGTAAAGGGGTACGCGCAGGGAGCTGTGTGGCTCCGCTATAATAGTTGAGTTTGTGTGTGACGGAAGGGACGTAGATCAAGCTAACCTGGTGCATTTGTCGTTCGTGCGCAGGCCAGTCTAATCACGCCCTTGGGTGTCAAATGTCCAAAGATAAAGATCTTTTGGATTTATCTCGGGAGCCTGCTCACTATTTCACGAGCTGCCACCGGCAGATTACTAGTACTGCGTTGTGAATCGCCCTGACGCTGCCCCAACCAGCGAGTGTTGGCTGACCACTTCATCATCGCGCCGGTCATCGATGCAAACAACGTGACGTTCTCCATCTTGCAGAGCCGGCAGCTGGTTTTTGCACAACAGGAATCGCACTTTAACATGCTCTTCGGCACGCTAACGGTTTTGTTGATGTCGAGATCTTAAAAAGTGGGAATAAGAGGACGATGAAGATGACGTCGTATACGAATGGTTGACTTTATGCGCATACCGGCCAATTCGATCATCGCCTATATCCATAAAAAAGGCTTAGTCGCCACGACATGCTGCGACAAGCCAGACCCGTCCAAGCAAGCCATCAAATAGGCAAGATCGCCAAGTACCCTACCACGGTAATCGATTGCCTAAAGGCGTCAAGGCCGAGTGTGATGGCTCGAACAAGCCGCTGTAGAGCGACGTTCCACCAACTAAGTTTTTTCACCCAGTTAAAAACCTTGCTTCATGGCTTGTGGGTGCGCGAAGTGCTGATGCTGCACCACGTCCATGCGGCGAGGTTTTTGCAGAACGAATACATCAATTAGCTTTAGCCGAACCGCAGGGAAGCTACTCCAGCTCTTTCACGACGGCCAGGTCTTGCGAGCCGCTATAGAATCGCACTACAGGAAGACGTCGTTCGACGTCTCCTGGCCGTCATTCCCATTAAATAACCACTACTTGTGCGCTTTCAGCGGCGGGCGTGCTACCATCATATCCAGTACAGTGGCGGGAGAGAATGGCATTAATTTTAATCGGGAGATAACCGAAGAATACACCAATCTGATGTACTTGTCACTGCAGGGACATTTTAAGGTAAAGAAGAAGCAGCTTCTGTTTGTTTCATAAACATCCTTTTATAATTAGCACGGCGGCGACGACAAATAAACCAAACTTGTCGTAAAGGACATTTATAGGAGGTCTAGAAAAGTGTCACTTTACATATGACTCGCTATTTCACTACGTGTTGACGATCATTTTTCTCTTCAGCTACCATCAACAGGAAATACTTCAGCTTGGATCTCCCGTTTTTAAAACACTTGTTAAATCTTTCAGTAAATGGCGCCAATTCGCTTAGTTCTTCCTAGTAAGGGTAAGTTCATGACTACTTAGTGACCCGCTGAGACCAATGCACGATAAGCATTGGGCATTGATCATTCCATCGGCAATGTCTCGTGACGTTCGAGCCAGTCCATTCCAAAAATGGTTCTACATCTCGAGTTCAAATCTAGGACGAGACAGCAGTGGATGCTGTAAAAGTTTATAGCTTATACGACTGAGTTCATTAAGCTAGCTTTGGGAGCGATAATAAATGCTACGGTTGCAATACGGACCGAGAAAAGAACACCTTCTTTTTCTTTCATCGTCTCAGTGTAACGCTCACCAGCCCAAAAAGTGGATTCAGGCATTGTTTCCCGATGATTCGTCAAAAAATATCGACTGTGTATTTTACAATGTATATTATCGTCCTACACTGCCAGACAAGCCAGGAATAATTTCCCGATCCTGGTAAATTTAACGAATGCTTTTGGGGTCGTTAATCATTCAATCTACCCACTACAGACTGACCAGAATCCAGATGTCTCCTTGTAAAGAGCCACGCACCTACTGGGTCGCGACTTTTCTCCACGCCGTACTCGTTTTCAGTTTTAAAGAAGGTTCACGGCTATACTGATCCTGAATCATCAGTTAACAGTATATGACTTTTACGGAGGTGCCTTGTGCATCCGCACGTCCACGGATGCACATGACACCTTACGTTGCTATCCCACGTCCTAAGCCTTGTCTTCATCAATTTCCGCATAGCCGAGTTTTATGGTCTCGTACATATCGCAATTAATTCAAAGATAGGCCCTCTGATACCATATCGAGCTTCTTTATGATGTAAAAAGGAGTTCGATGATTTGTAAATTGCAGCTCCTTGAAGGTCGAAGAATGGACATGGAAGACACAAGTATTGAAAATATCCCTGTGGAGGTCTTCTTGGAACATTAGTAACTAGTATCCTTTTAAATAAGGATCTAAACGCTTGCAGTAAGGAGAGTCCTCAATCTGCGGTCATAATCTGGTAATTATTTTTTTTCAAGAATAAAAAGTGTAAGCTTACGCTAAATGCTTGGTTTAAAAATAAAGAAGCTTAAAAGAACAAGACGTGGTAGGTTTAGCCGTACAAAGAATCGTGGTACACTACTCAAAGGCAATTCCAAGCAATTCGGAGACATTGACAGAAGCATGACATGTCAGTACCGATTCCAGACCGGCCAGTGATCTTTTAAAAGGATAAGACAACTTTTTGCTGATCCGAACAGGCATAGCGGCATATGTTTATACTTCTATTTTTCGGATCCAATTTGGATCTGCCTTTTCTGATAAAAACTGAAGTCTTTGATATAAAGCTGAATTTCTACTTATTTATTAGGTGCAAGGTATGCACCACGTGGTTTAGTCGATGCTATATGGCCATGTATCCGCTCAGCGCGGCCCCAAATGCCTCAATATGCATTAAGCACATTTTTGGCCTTAAGCCACAACGGAGTCGACCTTTTGTACCCCAGATTACGCTGTAGGCTTATCCAGCGCTAGAAATTGATGCTCACCGAATTCAGCGACACTTTCCATCCGTACAGAGGATCAGTTTATAGATTCTCAGGCGTATGAGTGACTACAAGTGCTTCCAAGAGTAGCCTAGATACACACATTTTCATTTGAGAAAGAATTTCGGCACAATCCACTTAGCTCTGGATTAACCAATTCAATGGCACGAGAATTAAATCTCAAACTGGATCTAGAGATAGACTCTAGCTTCAAGCAAGTAGAAATACCGGGTGATTTTTGTGTCATACACACCAAGGGGTGCTCAAAAGACACAAGCCCTGTAAATGCTTGTACACTTATACTTGAACGTGACAGCCACTTTATTTATGGTTTGTGTACGGTATTGACGAATTAAGCTAAGTTTATGTTAAGTACTGTATTTGTCCTAGTCTGCCAAACTGCACGAGGGGACAGTCCGTCCTTAATGTATGTCTTCTTTGGAGATGCAAGATCGTTTATCATAAAATACGAAGTAGTTTACGGAATTGCCGATACGATGTCTTACGGTCTGCTTTCTATTCCTAGCATTGAATCAAATTTGCACTCTTTGCAATATTATTACCGGCCTTCCAACTGTTATGTGACTTATTACACCCAATGGGTTCAGTTACAGCTTCCCGTATAAAGGGGAGGCGCCCAAGTGTACCATACCAAAAAGGGACTAGCTCTACTATAGAACGCGTGGGGGGTCATGGTTCCGAAGCGTTAATTGTGGACTTAAACGTCTCGCTCAAGTAATCCGAATTGTAAGTATACGAGAGGTTTCGCTTTGACCTGCAAAAAGCGATGGATTCGAAAAATTTTACAATATACTCATCGTTTGCGAATAGCTCATCCTATTGCGATTTAGTTACGGTATTTTTGTTAGTTTACATAGCCAATTTATAAACTCGCGAACGAGATGAGGGTTGCATAGATTACCTATTATCGCCGTAGTTCAACCAGATAAACGATGCAGTAGTATTTTAGGGATGTGTAGAGCAATCAGTGCACGAGTGCGGTAATGTGAGGTACAGGCACGTCGCTTTACTGTGCTTAAGTGCTATAGCTAAGCGAAAGGGCAAAAACCTTCTGGTCATCACTCAGTGATGCAATATGCAATATTAAAATCTGTTAGCACTTATGAAATGCGAGATGAATGTATTTGCAGCTGAATAACTGATGTGGCACTTGACATTACGGGTATGTAGTTTTTTAGTGGTATTCAAGAATAAATACA